TTTTTTTTTTTTTTGGATCTCTTTACTTAATTTGGGTGCCCAAACTTGGTCCTGGAGGGCCAGTGTCCTGCAGAGTTTAGTTCCAGACTCAATCAGACACACCTGGGCTAGCAAGCTCTTATACAGTACCTGTAGCTTTCCAAAAATATTCTTGCAGTTGTGCTGAGGCAAGCTGGAGCTAAAATTTGCAGGACACCGGCCAACTTGGACTGAGTTTGGGCTCCCCTGTTCTATGGCAAAAAACCCTTTTGGGTTTAAATGGTAGACAAAACAGTTACCATAATTCTTTAAAATACCTTATTTTATGTGGAGAAGAGAAAAAATTCATCAAAACCAGGTCCCACTTTATATTAGGTGGCTTAACTATAGATTAGATGCTATAGATATAACATAGCTTAACTACTATGTATTCGCTTATAAAAAAAATAATACAATGTACAGTATGTACTATGTTCATAATCTCAGAACACACGTACATGTAGAGTTAGGGACAAGTTTAAGGGTATGGGTAGGTTAAAGTGTAAGAGATGATCAACAGTGTAATTACAACTGTAGTTGTAGAAATTACTTACATGGAGGTATTTAATCAATACTACAGGAAACACAATGTAAAAAACATGTATTTACCAAAGCTATTTCACGACAATTCGTAACTTTCGGATTTAGTGGCTAATCTGTATGAAGTCTTACGATTTCATGTACAATTTAGTATGATTTGCTCATCTCTCAATAAAGGTTGGGTTTTTAAAATCATAAACTGACAAAATGTAAAATACTTATGTTTCCTTGTGAGATCAGGCTGGTATTAACACAATAGCGAAGTATATTGTAACAAATGATTAATTTCAGTGTAAGAACTTATTAGTTAAAGCTACCTAATATAAAGTTGAGCTGAACAACATAAGAGTGAGTTATTATAATATAAGTTGTTTTTTTTTTTTTTTTATGAAAGTAAAGGAATGTTTGCTTGTTTTTATTTTTCCTCATAAGACTTTAAGAAAAATGAAACGAACACTGGATTTGACAGGAATTTAAATCATTTTTTTCCAAATCAATAGCTAAACGAGTCGTCTAGAAGCAGGAGGATTGTCTGTGTTTGGAGGAATGAAACCTTTAAACTACATATTTTTTATGTCCAGTGCACCAAAAGCAATAGTTTGAAACCTTTCATACAGTGTTTTATTTCAAAAATATGGTCATTGAAATGTCCTCCTGTGATGTTAGTGTGCAGCTTTGAAATAGATACTACACAGAAACTGAACACATTTTGAGAGCTCATTTCATCAAGGGAAAAAACACAGTAACTCAAAGCAGTCTCCATTTCTATCCTCTCTACACTCCTTCTTCCTCCCTCTGTAGTGTGTAGCAGTGAATTCACCCAGACACACACACACAAATGCAAACACAAAACCCATGCTGATTAGAGGAGTTTCTCTTTTTCATGTTTAGCCTGAGAGGATATATTCAGCAAATGTTATTCAGTACATGTCAACATACACTGAAAGCCATTTTAAATTCAACATCGTATTATACCATAAACCTTTTTTAAAACGTTTTTAAACTCTGCTTTAAATAAAAGTCGTGATAAGATTCTTTGCATACTGTGACATTCATTTTGGTGAAATGACTTTGTAAACAAGTCATGCAAGGAGGGACTTGTTTTGCCTGTTGGTAATTGTTTGAATTTGTAGTGGTGTACTATTTGCTGATCTCATGTCAGTAACAGTTTGAACAGAATTATCTATTTTAACCCTTGTGCCAATGCTACTTTTTAAACTCTGCTCCAAATTTCACAATGTTGACATTGAATTACTTTACAAAAGGTGGTTTGTGTGCAATATGGTGCTGTAATATTTAAACTGATTATTTAACAACATACAACCACTCATAAAGTAAACACTGCTTGACTTATTTAATATTCATGAGCTCTGTTCAGTCAAAGAAGCTCCCACATGTGGCATCAGGTAACACAAAAAAGCAAAGTGGATTTACATGGTGACATTTGCACAGATGGATAATCAAATTAAAACCGGTCACGTACCTGTTGCAAGTTCAATCAGTGTTGTTGACCTCATAAATATGCAAATTATAATAGTAACCAGGGTCTCTAAATGTGTCATGTAAAATCTTAAACGCCCAGGATTCTGATCTGTGAAAAGTTATAAGAGTGTAAGACACAATTGGATCAGTTCATCAGCAGACTCTGTCCAGTGGCAGCAGAAGCTTTGTCAAGTTTTGTTGTATCAGTTGCACTATTTTGTAATGAACAAATCACAACTTACACTTTAGGGTTGGACAATTAATCCAAGGCAACTTTTATGCACATATTGTCAGTAAAGCCAGTTCAAAACCTGCATTCAGATGAAGCAGCATTTACTGCAGAGTCATAGGCCTAATCCTAGTTCTATTTCTGTACCGCTTCCCCTTCCCCATGGCCCTTAAAATCAAGCGTGAAAGGGATGAGCTTTAAACCCCTAAGAAATGGGACACCACTACAGCACCTGCACACATCCTCATATGTCATCATGATCTCTTGCTTCATATGAGATCAGACCTGTAATCACTGAAGGCATATATTATGTTATCATAACGATCTAATGTGGCAATAAGATCGTAATACTGTGCATTTAACACAGTGGCCATATTCATGTATGTAAACATACTAAAAACAGCATTAACATAATAGCAGACACTGAAAAAAGCCCATTCCCAGCCACTAGACTTTTCTGACAGGGTATTCAAGGGTCATCAAGTGACAGAATGTTGTGGGTCTGCTGTACAGAAGTTATAATTATGAATTATTGCAAAATTAATTATTTATTTTAGACTTTTTTTTAAAGCATGGCGGTAAAACGTGTATGCTGTAATGAATATATTAAAACATATGCTTGTTTGTTGTAAAAAATTTGTAATAATGAAAAAATACTAATTTGTGTATTTGTGTAATATATATATATATATATATATATATATATATATATATATATATATATATATATATATATATATATATATATATTATACTGCATTAGTTAATATAACAATGTTTTCTAGCTTTAAATATTAGGAAAATAAATTAGGAAGTTTCTCATGGCAACTTTATTGTAATAGAGTTTGCTATGTTTACCTTCGGCACACAGCCCTCAGCGAAGTTTGGATTTCGGTCTACAATAAGAAATAGCTTGAGCACCTCTGGTCTGGGTAGAAAAGGTGACTTAAGGCTCGTTCACACCTGGACGCTTTTTGTTTGCGTTTATCGTCAGTGTTTTTTGAGACATTTTTCCGGATTCAAACCTAAGAGATTTTCACTAGTGTCGAGCAGAAGAGTATTCAAGAATAATTTCTTGACATTACACAATGGCTCTACACAACTTTAAGCTTCTGACACCCATTTGTAACACAGAAGAAGAAGACAGAAAGTTGTCACGCTTGTTGTTAAAGTTACAGGTGATTCGAACAATCATGAATGGTTCAAGTAGAAGTAGAAGAAATTATTATTGTTCACCAGTGCAATAAGCAGCTCCATGTTCATATCGCCTCTGGGCATCTTCTTCATTGTGCACTCGCATTAAAAGTTTTGCGCTTGAGCATCTCCAATTTTTTGGACAGACTTTTACGTCTGTCATTTTGCGCGTTGGTGTGCACGATCTCATTGGCGCCCTTTATTTAGTCACAAGGCGTTAAATGTCGACGGAAAACGTGATCAAAAAGTGACCCGGTGTGCACAGGCCTTTATACTTAGAGTCAGTTACCATGATAACTTACTCTGCAAACCTAAACCTATGAGGAGCAGGGGGTTTAGTTTTCTGTCTCTTCAGGTCATCACCTGTGGGATAATAACAGTGAAAAGATTTAAACTTGAATTGATTCTGTTGTATGTATGCTACTTGACAAAAGTCTTGTCGTCAATCCCAGTTGTAAGAGAAACAAATAATAACTTGACTTCGAGTTGATCATTTGGAAAAGTTCCAGAAGGTAGATCTTTCACGTGAATCATCTTTTGAACTGCATCCCAATCATCACAAATACTGCAGAAGATCTATCGCAACTCGCATAGACCCAAGATTCTCAGAGAAATCAGTCAAGTTTGGTAAAGGAAAAATCATGGTTTGGAGTTACATTCAGTATGGGGTCTGTGAGAGATCTGCAGATAGCGGATATCGCTCCTCATACTTCAACCTCCACATCAAATGTCACCAGATATGAACATTATTGAGCATGTCTGGGGTAAGATGAAGGAGGAGGCTTTGAAGATGAATAAAAAAAAATCTTGATAAACTATGGGAGTCCTGCAAGAATGCTTTCTTTGCCATTCCAGATGACTTTATTAATAAGTTATTTGAGTCATTGCAGAGATGTATGAATGCAGTCCTCCAAGCTTGTGGGAGTCATAAACAATAATAATTTATTTATATTACAGCTACACCATGACTTTATATTCTATACTGTACATTATTTCTGTTAATTGACAAGTCTAAGCAAAAACAGACCTTACTGTCCTGATTAAATTAAAAATCAAAGCATGATTGTATTTTATCTTAGTAAAATAAGCATAATCTAGAAGCATTTGCTTTTCATATAAGCCACTTCTGATACCAAATGATAAACTAGAAGTCAAGTTATTATTTGTTGTTCCTGAAACTTATTCAGGCGATGAGACTTTTGTCAGGTGTTGTTGTGGTAAATCCTAATATCAGTTCTTTATTGATCACAGTTAACATACGCAGAGTTGATTGAACTTACTAAATGCATCTGTTCTGAAACTGAAAACTCAGAGTAAGTTAACTCAAAGTTGGTTGAACCTCCTTATTAAAACAGACCCCAGAACATTTTCAATCGGCAAACAAGTGACATGCGGTAATTGTCTGCTTTTGGCAATGCAGTAAAAAAGTGATATTTAAAGTGTGAACAGCCAAGATTTGTCACATTGTTAAAGTTGAATTTAAATAATGTCGTATGAACTTAATTTGCCTATGTTTCTCTTTTGTGCATCTCTGCAGCCTCCATTGTGATTGGGAAGTGGTGGTGTGAGATGGAGCCATGTCTGGAGGGAGAAGAGTGCAAGACGCTACCAGACAACTCCGGCTGGATGTGTTCCTCTGGGAATAAGATCAAGACCACGAGGGTGAGGGCTCGGAACACTCTGAACATCATTACACACACACATTCACTTAGCTACACAAATAAGGGCACGGCACAGACATTTATTGATTTTGTGGCAAAACTTTACTATATGCATAAGCTGAAATAAACTAACAATAAGTTACAAACAGAGCACAAACCCAAAAAAGTTCAAATGGGGGTGTAGAGTTGTGTGGGTGAATGTACTACCAATGCACAAAATAATAATTTTGTCTTAATATCTGCTATATTCACAAACCTTTCCAAAAAATGCAATCCAATTCACACCAATCAATAGAAAAATTACTTAACAATTCATTGGGCATCCCAGGCCAGTAGGTGGCAATGTTTCTTAAAAACAAAACACTATGCGCCTATACTCATTTGGTCCTGTAGTCTCCACTTGTTGTGCTGGTTGTCAGGTACTTACATATGTCTATAGATTGAACACATAATACACATTCTCATGACATAATTAAAAATATTTTTGTTAACCCAGAAATGATAAATATAATTTTATTTTTAAAAGTCAGCATTTACATGTCACTTTAATGAATGAATAAAACTTATGAAACCTTTATGCTGTGTTCACACCAGATGTGGACAAAGCGTCAAAATTGAATGATTTACACTTTAAATCGATGTAAAGACACAAATAGACATCCTGGGGTGCGACAGATCATCTACAAGTCATTTGAACACTGGGTTCCCCACAAACATGAGGGGGCGGCGCTCTTTGTGGCAGTGGCTCCTCAGCCAAGTGCACAAACCAAATGTCTGAACATTGTGGTTCCTCACGTACTGAGCGGGATTACTAGCACAACAACAGCCTACGACAGTAGGGTAAAACTAACCTGGCTCACATTCCCTGTTAGTGGGTACACAATCCATGGCTTGGTGAATTCTGCTTCACAATGATAGAAAGAGCCAACATCAAAGGAACAAAAAGCGACATTATGAATGCTTGGCCACCAGAGGCAGCATGAATGACGCGGTTAGCACAAATAAAGTGGCGGAAATCTGAACTTCAGTCTCGCATTAACCAATGAACACATCTGCGCTGCATTAACCAATCATGAGCTCGCTCTTGTAGGTGAGTGATTATGATGTAGTACTTGTTGTTGGTATCCCAAGGGGAAATCCTCTTGCTGACACTGACAACAGCTTGTTACAGAGCTGGGTGCACCTCTGAAAGGATCTATGGGACTCAGACACGGTGCTAAACAAATCTACACAGTTTTTCAGCCTTTCTAAAGCACTAAAAGCACAGCTACTGTCTTAATAAAAATCCATGTTGACCATTTAGAGAAGCTAGAGTCATCAGTCAGACAGAAGCCCCGCCCATGACGCGAATCTATTGTGAAGCGAGTTTGACTCGCGAATGAAGCAAATTTGACACACGACTAAAGCAAATTTGACACGCGACTGAAGTAAATTTGATGCGAGTAAACTCAAAATGTTCACGTGTCTATTTATGTGTTAATAGCGCAATTTATTTGTGTGTTCCGCGTCTGGAGTGAACACAGCCTTCTTGTTGAAAAAGTAACAGTGTTGAAAAAGTAACAGCTTTCACTGCTTGTCGTCAGTAAATCCTGACAACAATTTGTGCTGTGCATGTGTAAGTCATTAGTGAACAAGTCCTTTAATTAAAAAATACAAATAAAATATATTAGTGGATAAAAAGGCAAATAATATACAGTATAGTTAACTAATCCCAATTGAAAAAAATACTAGTAATCTCCTTCATATAGTCCTAGTTTAACCCTTAAGAAATAAAACAGTAAATAAATTCAGGAAGACCCAAGTCAGACAAAAAATATACCTCTGACCATACAACTTTGACAGGAAGTACACATGGCACAATATTAAAACTTGATGAGAATATCAGTTTTGCCATATGCTGATTTAGTAGAGAGAAAACAGATAGCGGATCTATGAGAGTCATGTGACACCAAACACAAGTAGATAGTATTACAGGGGCTTCAGTCCCTCCTTGGCATCTACACGTGTTAAACTATCCCAAGCCCTGCTTATATGGGAATCCTATGGTGGCCGGATGTTTTTGGAGATTGACAAGGTAAGATCATGCATACAAACTGAACTGAACCTTATTTAATATCATTAAGCAAACTTTAATCAAATAATGTGCGCACTTGTGTCAAGCTTTAAGAACAAAATTTTAATTTTGTCAAAAATTACACACCTTCATGTCATTCCAAACCCAAATGCTATTTTATAGAGATTATTAATAGAAATGTTTTGTGCTATTCTGGTTTAAAATAATGTACTGTACAAGGCTAGGAGCTCTGTAAAGCATAAAACACCCTAGAAGAGCATTGTTCTGTAATGCCAGTCCATAATGCATTCCCGGTAGCCTTCTGAGAAACACCAGACATTCATTATTTACAAATTATCCATTATTCAGAACTCAATATTCACTCATAATCTTGCTCCAAAGCTCATACTCAGCCTGTGTTTGCATTTATTTTTGTTTGATTTCAAAATGCATTGGATTGAATTGCTTTTGTAGTGTAAGTGCTTGTGTGGTTGAATGCATTCAAAAAAAGCCACAAAATAGCAACTTTTCTCTGAATACTTAATGAATATGTGATCATTAGGGCAGTTATTAATATGCTTTCATTAATCTCTTTTCCAGTTCACTCATAAGTGGTGTAACATTGGTTAGTTCAGTTCATTTTTTTTTTTTTACAGAAATTTAGCATTTAAAGGTCCTTTGAAATTAAAATAATGTTTTTTAGATGTTAGTATCAGTATTATTAGTTTTTGGGGTAACTATAGGTTAGTGCGCTTCAAAACTGTGACAAAATTTAGATATAGAATAATATATAAACATGTAAACCTTTTAGTTTGTCACATCCGCCTAAATAGATCAAATTATTCACGTCAAGTCACGTCATGACCAATCAAATGCTCTCTTGTATCTGACTTGCCCCGCCCGTTCAAGACAGTAGAGCAGTTATAAAACAAAACACTATTGGCATTCTTTTTTTAAATGGGAGGGGCTACATTATGTCCCACCCTTTCTTCATGTTTCGGTTGACATTACATCAAACATTGAATAATAATGTACATTTCAAAGCACTTCACAGGATATTTAATGTACTATTTCTAAGATAAAAATAAGAAGGACTCATCTCCAAAACACAACTGTTCAGAAGAAATATTTGGACACCATGCAGCTGAAATGGTGATCATGTGGTAATTATTTTAATGCTAAGTGGCCATTTATTTTCAGTAATCCAGCCACAATTGGTCAGTAGACATAATTATGTATCAATTTACTGTTTTGTGACTCTTGAACCCCATGAGTGGTTAACCTACGAACGTAATCGCATCAAATTTGTATTTAACTTCACTGTAAAACCCAACAGTCAACTTTATCAAATGAAGCTAGTGTAGTTTACTCAAAATTGACTGAAAGTTAATTCTACTCATTTGAAAAGAGTGTTGAAGGTAATCAGTTAATTAAATACCTCATTACTTCAACTGAAATGGAGTAAGTTCACAGTACTATACTTTAGATTAGTTTTTTTGTTTTGTTTTTTGTTTTACTCAAATGGTTTGTAGCAATCAGTATTCTCAAATGGTGTGAGTTGCCTTAACTTATTGGGTTTTACAGTACTCAGTTGGTTTGAGTTCTCTTCATTTATCGGATTTTACTGTGCTCAAATTGCTTCATTCTCTCAAATGGATTAAGTTCACAGTACTCATTAGGATTATTTTTTTGTACTTAAATGGTTTGTTGCAATTGGTTTCTTTAAAAAGTTTTAGTTACCTTAACTGTTTTGGTTTTACAGTGTATAGAGTCACAGTGTAAAACTAAAAGATATGTGACTAACAAACACACATCACATTGCACTCACTTTTAAACATGGACCTTTGTGTTATTTGTATTGTGCATGTGTGTGTTTGTGTAATGTATATATGTTGTTTTTTTTCTGTCCAGATTAGCATTGTGTTTATGTAAAAATTTCACTTATGTCAAACAATAGCCCATATGAACACTGAAATAACCACAGACACATTTTCTTTCAAACTTCATTTATTAACCAAACATATAGAGTTTACATATACTTACCAGTTTCCTATTCTCAGCACCAAACCTGTTTAACTTTCAAACAAAGCCATTTATACAGATTTTTCCCGCCTTCACTTTGGAGCAGCCATTTTCCATAACATCATCAGGGTCACAACCCCCTGGTCAGTAAATAAAAATCACAGTTTTGTTGTTTAAATTTGTATTGGTTATTTGTTGTGTTGTATTTTGAGTTTTGTATGCATATTCATTTACTTGCATTAATTTATATTTCTGTTGAATGTCTTTTTATGTATTTTTTTGTCTACATGGTAACCCACTACCAGTGAAATGGTTTAACCCATGGGCGGGGCCAATACAATAAAATGGCCCCAAACATTCACTTGAGGTGGGTAGTTGTAGGAGAAGGTTGTGTTTTTGTCAGTATAGGTAGCAGTTTTTGTTCAGATCATTTACTTGATTTAGCTGAACAAGCCTGTACATACATTGTAAATATTGAATAATTTATTTTTCTTTATTGTTATTTTGTCACTTTCACCTGTTTTGCTGGATTTTTGTTTTCACTTTGTGTAAATAAATCACTCTTCACTTTCACCAGCGGCTTCTGTGACACTTTTTTGCCTCCATCTACCCGGTCAATCGTAACATATAGTACCTTTGAAAAGTGTTGAAAGTGGATAAATTCAAAATGTTTTAGAACTAGTGTCACCCATTTTAATACCTCTTTAATTGCATTTGCTTGGTTTTTATATTATGCCACAATGTTGCTGATTTTCAAGGTAAAACAAGACATGGTTAACTAATATTTACCCAATTTGGTTTTTATTTATTTATTTATTTATTTAGTTAGTTAGTTAGTTTTTGTTTGTTTATATTGTTTATTTCTAAAGTGCTAAATGTGTAAAATATTTTCAAACTGGGCAATGGAGGGTTTAATTTTAGACTAAAACAATATTGATGGATCTTTTTCTAATATTAAAATAAAACTCATGTGTCATCCTTAACTGGACTACATAATAATGTGTATACTCTGGTCCCAGCAGTTTTAAAACTGAAATACTAATAGAAATTTCCCAGTGGAAGCAGGTTAGCAGTGTGTGCAACACTTAGTATTTTGGATTAAGAATATTATAAGACAGTGATCACACTTACAGTTTGGTTCCCTTTGATTTAAAAAAAAAGAAAATTTAATTTACTCTTAATTAGTTAAGATAAGACCACATGTAAATGAACATTTACACAATCACACAAAAATTTTGCTTGAAACAAACCAAAATAAGATAAGTGTGAATAAACACTAAGGGTGCTTTCACACCTGTAGATCAATTGTTTTGCTCCAAAACAAGGATAAAAATTGTTACTATGCTTATTTTTGTTTTTGATATGGTTCGCTTTCACACACCAAAATTTAAAAACAGACCCAAATAATTCAAACAAATCACATGCGAGTAAACTCTCCTCACATTGGTCAAGAGTTTCAGGGACACTCTGGGGGAATCTTCAGACATCGTCACCAAATATAAATCATACTGTCCATAGCCTCAAAAATCCATATATTGAATTATCAAGCAATGTTGATCTTTTTTTCAAGGTGTCAGTGCAGGATTGAACAAAACAATAGGCCTAATACAAAATATAATAAAATTTAAAATATGGAAAAATTATCAGATGGTAATTTCGGTCAATTTTCCTAACGGATAAACAGCTCTCGGTATTAGTTCAGCATGCTTTCACTTTCATATTTTTGTATTCATATTTGAAATGTACATTTACCGGTAGGAATGGCACCCCGCTCATAATTCTCTCTTCATATAGCTGTATATATGGCTATTACATAACCAGAATACACTGTGATATAGCCTAGTTTGTTGAATTGTTTTGCTTTCTCACTACAATCGATCCGCTCCAGAGTTCGTTTCAATCGAGATTGTTTTGGCATGGATCTGAGTGTGATTGTGGGCCAAATGAACCATGCTAACTCTACAAATGAGACATTTGTATGTGTGAAAGTACCCTAAATTAACAATGAACAAAAAGTCTCAAACAAAAAGTACCTCAGCATTTTATTTAATATTTTATGAATATAGCTTATGAATATTAACATTGTATAGCATTAGCAAGACTTTAAAGATATTGTATGTTTCATGTTAAAAAAAGATGACATGAAGGTGAGTAAATAACAGAATTTTAATTTTAAAGTGAAATTATTATTTTACTCCAATAGAGAATCAAAAGGAAAGAACTCTACACTGTTAAAAATAAAGGTTTCCTAATGTCATCAGTAGTTCTATAAGCACCTTTAACATCCACACAACCTTTTCATTAAAATAAAGAAAACTGTTCAATTAAGGTTTCTTTCGGTAGTCAAGAATAGTTTTTTAATGGCATTGCTGTGCAAACTACTTTCATATTTAAAAGTGTACATATCTTTTAAAAAGTGTAAATCATGGTAACCTGTTTCTGATATTAAACTTTCCTTTCCCCCACATATCTTCCTTCCCAGAACACCCAGCCATATTCCACTTTTTAGCTCTGAGGGCCACTCAATCTTCAGAAGCTCAGCGGCGTCCTTCTCCTCATCAAGGTTGGCATTTCTCATTCTTTAAAAACATCTTGAGCCATATGATTAGGCTTGCACATTTTAATCACTGCTCATCAACATCATTACACTCCCAAACATAATTATTGCTGAGTCAGTGTTTGTGTTTGCTAGCGTGTTTATATGCTGCCGATGATTAAAAAGCCACAAATATATTCCTCCTCCAATGTCTATTCTCCCATCAGCGTAATTTATAGGCGCGCACACGCACGAGCATAATGAAAAATGTGAACGCGGCAGTCGGTGCAGTAATTACCGAATACAAACCGTTGAAGTAACAGATGCACGAATGAAGCGCCTTTGTCGTGTGCAGTCACACATTCCAAAACATACTGTGCCATTGTACTAATGCAGCATAATTGCGTGCATGCAAACACGCAGTTACACACACCAAGGGACAGACTCAAATTAATGAGCGTGCAAACACACACACACACAAAGCGAAAAGGGCTCAAGTGTGACCATGTAGTCAGTAATAAGTGCATAATGCAGAAATCAGTACTTTGCCTCATCGTTTGCTTCCATTGTCTCTCATTTTGTAAGCTCCTGGGCATGGTGAGGATTTGATTACCATGTTTGTTTATGGGGTTTTTTCCACATTATCCCATTATCTTTGAGGTGTGCATGAGAAAATTTGGACTTCTTGTGTAACTTCCTAGCCTGGAGTGTCTTATCTGCCTCACTGGAGCATTGGTATCTGGTTTTCTTTGACCATCTTGCTGGTTCGGTCACCCTTCATCCCCCATCCTGACCCTATACATTCCCTTCGAGCAAATCTGGCCATGTTTGTTTAGGATCTGAACAAACAAAAAGCAATGTTAAAACCCATCACTTGCAGTTTTTCCTTTTTTTTTTGGCTCTGAAAACTTGCTGACACACACAAGCTTGTTTACCCACAAACGCTGGTGTGGCGTCCATTCTCGATTTTTTTTTTCTTCTTCCTTTTTTCAAATTGGCATGTAAGTAAGGAAAAGCCGAAGCGTGTGCCTGACACCCTTTTTTCTCTTTTTTTCTTTGTTTCTTACAGAGAGGGATCCCTCCTTGCCTGTAGCTCCAGACAAGGCAGGCCTCTTTTGAGGAAGGCACACAGTGAAAGAGGCTGAGAGACACCCTCACCCTGCATAGACCTACTTTTACCCTTTCCTAATGGCTATACTGTACTGTTCCGCTCCTTAATATTTCCAAAGTCAATGCGTAAACGAGGTTTACATCTTTCCCCAGTTTATGTGACTTTCATCTGCCTCATTTGCGTTCACTCCAGGCTAGGTAAAGAGCCTCAGTGTTGGCCACTAAATACCTGCTCATCTCAAATGTCAGGGGCCAGCTCAATTTTGGCAGATAAGCATCATGGTCTCATTGGTATTCATAGGTTTTTGTTCACATTTTTGGATACATGCTGAAGTGTTCATTGTGGAGATGCTGACAGCATCTAGAAAGTGTTTACCTATGCAGAAATTTGTAAAGATTAAATTATTTTTTGTTTATAAATCTGCAGTTAATTTCGTTTAGCTAAATTTGCAATTAAAGATCATTTTGAACCTATTTCAGCAATCTAAAGATGTCATTTGTGACCCTGGACTACAAAACAAATCATTAAGTGTCAATGTTTTTGAACTGAGATATTATACATTACATTAAAGTTGCAAACAGACATTTTCTATTGCTGTATGGTTTAAGATAGGACAATATTTGGGATAAAACTATTTGAAAATCCAAAACATCAGGGTTATATAGACAGATGCCCCCTTTTCTTTTTTAAATATTTCCCAAATTATGTTTAAAAGAGCAAGGACATTTTCACAGTATGTCTGATAATATTTTTTTCTTCTAGAGAAAGTCTTATTCGTTTTATTTCAGCAAGAATACAAGCAGTTTTTAAATTTTTTATGAACCATTTTAAGGTCAAAATTATTAGCCTACTTAAGCAATTGTTTGACTGTCTACAGAACAAACCATTATTATACAATACTTGCCTAATTACCCTAACCTGCCTAGTTAACCCAATTAACCTAGTTAAGCCTTTAAATGTCAACTTAAGCTGTACAAAAATGTCTGAAAAAATATCTAGTCAAATATTATTTACATCATGGCATAGATAAAATAAATCTTTAAAATAAATGTTTGGTAATGTGTTGAAAGATTCTTCTCTCCGTTAAACAGAAATTTGGGAAAAATAAACAGGAGGCCTAATAACTCAGGGGTGCTAATAATTCTGACTTCAACTGTATATACAGCATGAGTTGTTTGATACAAAATTGTTTGATATTTTACAGTATTAATTTTACAGCAGGGACATGATCTTATTTAATTCCTTAATGATTTTGGCATTAATAGGAAAAAAATCTGCAATTTGCAACATAAGACATGGTTATGTGGTCCAGAGTCACATTTTTGTCAAAGTGTGATTTTTTTTTTTTTTTTTTTTTTTTGCAGTTAAAGTAATTATACACTATACAAGAACAAATATTATGCTCATATAATGCTTAAGTTCAATAAACACAACTGTGACAAAGGAGTTTGCTCAAAAAATGCTCAAGACAGCACTATATACTATTTGCACACCCATTTGAAAACTACAGTGAAGTTAGACATTGCTGCATTTACAGTTTTTCTCAGTGGCTTTGGTGCATTTCTCACAACACTATTTACATTTGCACAACAGTTAATGCATTTCTCAAAACAGTTAGTACAAACTGCAAAACCTAGTTGATAGCCTGCAAAAGCATGTCACATGCTTAAAATGTATAGTTCATTCCTCAAAACCAAGTATTCGCGTCAATGAAAGTGTCAGTGTCATCAAGATGAAAAGTCCTGACACCATTGTTTAGGAACAAGATAGTCAAATGGCTGTCCTGTTGTCCTGTTTTCATTATGACAATTTACTCTGTAAAATTTTTCCAATGCAAAAAAGTCAGATTTTGGTGACACTTCCTAAAAATGCTCAAGACAACACTATACACTTTTGCACAGCCATTTGAAAACTTAAAGTTAAACATCACTGCATTTAGTTATCTGAGTACAAGACACTGAATATGTATGTTTGACATTTTGACTGCATATGCTCTTTACAATTCTAATTTATTCACAGCATTGTGCAAAAGAATAAATACACCCTTATTCACAACAAACATAAAACTCCCTTTGGGTAGAGCTGTGCACAACTGTAGACAATATTGCAGTACATATTGGAACTGAACCTACAACACACACAGCTCCGTAAATCATTCATGAAATTGTTCAATTAAGACATTTTCAAAGAAAAAGAAAAACATAAAAAAAATGTATTAGCTTGACAGATTTTGACACAGTTTAACATTTTTGTATGTAATGACTCAAGTAATGAAATGAGGACTATTATTTTTATATGGAATGACTATTCAGCATTCACATCATTTTGATTGACATGGCATAAGCGAATGATAAGTGAAGTTTATTTATAAACAAATTTCGAGAGGATCTCGTGCTTATGATTGTTCACAGCTGTTCCAACTTTAGCTAATGACTGATTATCCTATCAGATGATTCTTGACTCAATATAAATAACCAGACTTTTCTCATCTCAATATCTTTCGCCTGACACTTAGCTACAACAAGCAAGAGGGGAAGTCATCGAGATCTACCTGAGCTCAAACTCCCCTCTCACCTTGCAACAGGAGGGAGCCCAGGGCTCGAGGATCTTATAAGCTCAGGGCTCTCTCCCGGGACAGCACGCCAAACTAGCTTTACTATCAATCATCAGCTAAGTGTGAACTCTTGAATGTTATGAAACAGCAGAGAGCAATTGATGCATGTCCAAAAGCATTTAAAATTTGTTGGAAGGAACGAAAATCTGCTACTATGATGTGTACAAATGACTAATTGTTTTGAGAAATGCATTAACTGTTGTGCAAATGTAAATAGTGTTGTGAGAAATGCACCAAAGACACTGAAAAAAACTGTAGTGAGGTATCTGAGTAGAAGAGGCTGAACATGCATGTTTCACATTTTGACTACGTTTGCTCTTTGCAATTCTAATTTATTCACAGCATTGTGCAAAAGAACAAATACACAATTATTTACAAAAATTACACCCCTATTTGTAACAAATTTAAAAATTGTTACAAAATTTGCTTGACAGATTTTGACATAGTTCAACATTTTTGTATGTAATGACTCAAGTAATGAAATGAGGACTATTATTTTTATATGGAATGACTATTCGGCATTCACAAGTTTAGTTCATTTTGACTGACATGACATAAGCAAATGATAATGTCATAAACAGCAGAGAGTTGTATGAAAGCAATTGATGCATGTCCAAAAGCATTTGCAATTTGTTGGACAGAATAAGAAACTGCTACTATGATGTGCACAAATGACTAATTGTTTTGAGAAATGCATTAACTGCTGTGCAAATGTTAATAGTGTTGTGAGAAATGCACCAAAATCACTGAGAAAAACTGTAATGCGTACAAAAAAAATTATAATAATGCATACAAAAATGTACATGTCTGAGAAGTACACTTTAAAGGGGCTATAGAATTCAGAAAACCCTGAAATCTACCCACACTGTTAAATTTACAAGCAAATAACATCACAAGTTCTTGAAATGAAAATCAAGCTACACACTCTAATAAATTAAGGTATACTTTTCTTGTCTAACAGGTCCGCATGTGTTCCTTTTGCCGTGTTTTCACTGAGTGGTACAGGTCACTTTATCAGGCTTGTGTCTCCACTGCCCGATTGTACCATTTTAGTAGGTGTGGTGTATGACAGGTTGTTTCGGTCAAGGTCATTCTCGTACAAAGAAAAGTAAAAGCAAAAGTAATACTATACAGGTCATTCACAAATGGCATGAGAAGCAGTTCTCAAAAACTGATGCTTTATATACAGTGGGGGAAATAAGTGTTGGACAGGTCACTATTGTTCTCAGAAAACATATTTTTTATCACAAACATATCACAAGTTGCTGTTGACTTGAAATTTTCACCAAATGTTGGTATCAA